AACCATCAATATCTGTTTATCAAGGTGGTCTTGCAGTGAACATCTCCTAGCCCTATGCTATTCAAAATGTTTGTAATGATCTGGAAGAAAGAATAAAGTAATCACTCAAATTTTTCAGATGGCACAAAATCTGAGGGAGTGGAAAATAATGAAAAGTAGGAGTCACTCACAAAGCTATGTGAACAGCTCACTCAGCTGAGATCAAGTACATAATATGCATTTTCAAATAGCCAGATATTGAATCACACTTCAAAGGGCCATGCACAGAAGAGGAAAGACTATCCAGGGAGGCAGTAATTTGAAATTACTGCAGTTTGGGGGGGGTGATCACCTGAGTTGGAATGCTTACAATGTCATTATCACTCAATTACCTAATCAAACTGCTGAATATCAACAGATTGTATAATCTCTGTAGTTGGCACTGGTGGTATCATTGTTATAACTGTACCTGGTTCTGATGTATGAAATTTATGAAATTTATTAAAAGTGTTGAAAACTGGTAAGAATGCAACAGATAACTGAGAAAATTATTGACTGGAAATTGAGTTTTAATTACCTCTCAGAACATTCAAGAAAAAGATATATCTGAACTTTAGTCTATAGAAATCAACATGAAGGAACAGAAGGCTGTTAATAATGAAGGGCAACAGATAGAAACTGAAGCTAGACAAGCTAAAGCTGGACAGAAAAATTGTACTAGAATATAATAAAATTGCAAGATTCAAACTACACAGGAGCAATGTGGAAAAGTAACAAGAGCAATTACATCACGAAGGAATAGAACATGCTTCCTATTGCAAACTGACACAAACACACAGTGGAATACTGTACAGTGTACTGTGACTGTTAGAAATAATGTATAATGACTGTATAAAAGTAACAAACAAAAAAAAAAGGAAAAAAATATGGAGAAAAACAGGTAAATAACCAAACTGGAAAACAAGTCTACTCTGGACACAGGAGATTGCTTCAGAGCATGATTAGAAGGGCATACTGATATTTAAGGAAACTCAATGCTTAGAGATGCTTCTTAGAGTTCAGAGCTCCAGTCGCTTCTCCTAGAAACACTTTGCTGAAAACAGTTTTGGAGACTGGAGAAGATATAAAAATGCTCTTAAGTTACCATGATGATGGACAGTTGATGCAGTCTTCTTCAGCAGTTAAAAGTCCAAGATAAAATTAGTGAGATGCACAACACTAGGATATAGGATAAAAGTACATGATGTATTTCCATTAAAATACTTATTATACTTCTTTATTTACAATGACTTCAACCATATCTGACCAGTGATTCTGTTTGACCCTTCCATTATTGTTTCCGAGAGTTCGAAGTCTACAGCAATTCTTTCTGAATATCAAGCAAGGATCTCAAGAACACATACAAAACATTAATACTTCCTCCATAAGTTTCTAAAGTCAAAAACAATTTGGCCTATATTTTGCCCTAGAGATACAGCAATGTCTTTCAGAAACTGACACACATTCCCTTGAATGTGGGACTAATGTGGAACAGATTTCTACTAAATCACTACTTCAGTGGTTTACAGTGGTGTTACAGCTCTGTCTCTGCTTATCTATGAAAAGAGCTATATTATTTATGTGACTTGATGACATTTAAATAGCAGGAGCCACTTTTGAATAGCTCAAGTCTATGAAGAGAAAAAAATGTCATAGCATTTGTATACATAGAAGCAGAAAAGTCCTCTTCACAATCAGCGATTCACTTCATTGGATAATAAAAAATATTCTCTATGTATTGTAGAAACCTGCATAAGTCTGAGCTTAATAAGAACACTTATTCAGTAATATTTTATTTGAATAAGTAAAGGTATTTACTGACTGAATAGAATTTAGTATAAAATGCATTCAATTTACTTGTAAGAACAAACAAATCTATCAAAATCATATCAGAAATACTTTTAAAAAGACTGTAAACAAAATAGCAGCTAAAATTTTATTTGAAGTACAGTATCTATAATTTTTGTTCAGCTACACACAAGAGCTGATTTATTCAGCAGAAAACATATGTTCCAATTACTACCATTACATTGAAAACAAAACCCAAAGCAAAGATAGTTCTAATAGCACTCACTCAAGCTTGCAACTGGTCCATTTCCATGAGTTACTGGAACTGATAATTTAGAATGCTCCAAGAAAAGCAGCACTGTAATTTTAACTCTGTGGTATGGTACATACTACTTAAGATAAATTCTACATCACTAATACTATATTTTGCAAAGCTGTATTTTCTTTTTATTTTGGAAAATTATCTGTGATCTCATTATCACGATTTAGTAATTGATTTGGACAAAATAATTATACAGAACAATTCTAAGGTTATTTCAAAGTCTTACAAATATTAATATTGGAAAATTTTGAATCGTTACTTCAAATACATCACTGGATCATCTTTGCACTGAATACGAGAATTGGGTTAATGAAAAGATTCAGTTCATTTTTGTCTTTTTAAAGAAGTGGAGTAGGAGCTTGCTCATTAGTCTCCTTTCTTTAAACACAGCAGTAATCTTTGCTCTTCAGTTATGCAGCTGCTTGGGAAAGTTTCTAATCTAAGAACACACCGGCTGAAACAACCACTTCCTCCTTTAAAGAATCTTATTTTTGAAAAAAAAAAAAAATCATAAAGAAAAACAATGAAGCCAGTAACAACATGGGAAACTAATACTTCAGTTCTTCACCATTTTGTGACAGTGAAACTACATGCACATTCCTATATGAGGTGAAAAACAGCTCTTCATTCATAGAATAAAATTTCATATCCCTTTGTCTACAACAAGCCTTCTGACACTTTTCAGGCACAATACAAAAAGGAATCCAGATATACAGGTGAGATTTCTTCAGGATATAAAGAGCAGTTTGTAACTTACTAATTCACCTTAACTATCAGTAAAGTCTTCATACACTTTTACAGGTCTGTAAAGCTTGAAATATGGTGCTGCTCTGCATTGAGCAGAGTAACCTTTGGCTATCTAAATATTAAAAAAATCAGTTCAAGCTACTCCAGCTCTAACTAAATCACGCTCATGTGATAGCACTATCTGGAATTTCAGGGAACCACACCTGTTTCCATAGCCTTTGCATTGCCCTTTTCAAAGCATATAGAGAATTACAAGGAAAAGAACTTGGGAAAAAAGCAAACAAATACATGTGAAAATCCAGAGCCTGAAGCACTGCTAGTGCATTCCATCATTTCTCTAGACCAAGTGTCTACCTGCACAACTACACACCACACTTCTGGCTGAAAGACAGCTACCAAAGCACAAAGTTCCACCTCATTTAGTTTCTAGTCCTGGCTTTCAAAACAGCTTGAAATACTCCGACTTGATCCTTATTTAAAATGTGAGTGTGAACCAACTAAAGTAAACTTTTCCATTTTCTAATGAATATATTTTAAGTTTGTAATATATCATTTCAGTGTTCCACAATTGCAGTAACATAAGCATCAACAACAACTTCATCCTTTTGGAGCTATAGAAGTTCAGAGAGAATGTATTATTTCTGATAGTATCTCTACCCTCAGCTCCTGTCTGCTCTGTCCAGGACCTTCTTGAGACTGTCTGCAGCTCAGGGGAATACAGAGGGGGCTAGGGGAAGGCAATAAGGTTTTGCACATTCCTTTACATATTTGTATGTATTTGTACATATTTTCTTTTATTGTATTTCATTAAAGCTGTCTCATTTAGTTTTCAATTCGGAAGCCTCTCTCCTTATTCTCTCCCTCCTTTCCCTATCTTCATGGAAGGGGGAGGGGACAGAGAGAGCACTATTGTCATTTGTTTAATCCTGAGACACCCTCTAAAAACAAGAATAGTTCCCATAGTGTAACAACAGGTAGACTACAGCCAGTCTGCCCAAAGCCAAAGTGGTGCTTTCTTTTTACACACCTAACAGAGCGCAGCACTTCTGAGAGAACAGCACGTATAACAAGTTCCACTTTAGAAGAAATTGTGGAATTACTACTACAAGGAGCACACTGAGGAGAAGGCCAAATTCTGCAAGACCTCAGTTTCTGTTGGCTGTGCATGGAGACAACCATAAATCCCATGTGTTAAAATACTCATTTGCTGTCTAAATTTAGATAAAATAGTTCCTGATCCCATTTCTGGCTAAGCAGGAGACATTTATGGAAGCTCATGTATGTTCCACTTCACAGCTATCTTGCCAGGGAAGACAGCAAGAAGACTGCACCAGAGCAGGAGAGTGCCTCAAGAAAGGCATTTACATTGTCCCTATCTGACAATCTTTGATTAATAGAATCCTTTCATATTTAAAATTTTAGTGTTTGGCTTAAAAAGCTGTGTCCAAAAAAACCACCTCAGATTAAGCCTTCCCCTGAGAAGGAAGTACCCCTCAGCTCTCTTTAGTGTTTAAGTAATATTGAACAGACAGTAGTATGAAAAGTTAAAGTATAAATGTATGCACAAATAATGTTTTGAAAAGTCTTTGTTTTTAAGTTTTTGAGATGTCTGTGCTGCTTCTTACTCAGGTTTCTCATTGATGTCATTTTGAGAAATGCTTGAAGAAAAAACACAATGAAGAGCACATGGGAGAACAGATCGTAAAGTAATTAATACTATGAAGAATCTGCTCCTGTGGACAAAGCCTGAAAATCTGACATGCAAGATAACAGAAATTTGAAGTTTTCAGGGCATTGACATATACAATATAACTATAAAACATGCATTGATATAAACACTTAAGTATTACATTCTGCATTTAATGTATGTATACTTGAATATCTAAGAGTTCTTCCATGAAAAAGATGACAAAGTGATTTAATCCTCCTCCATTCCAAGCAGCAACTTACCAAGTTCCTTCTTTTTGCTAATCATTGGAAATATCTGATGCTGAGTAGCTCATTTTAAGCATACCATACATGTCAATTTACCTTCATTTCTGCAATCCTAATGTGGTTAGAATTGCTACAAACAGTTATTCTTGTAAGTGCCACAGTGCTTGAAGAAACATGACAAAAATCTTACCGCTAAGTTTCCATTGCACCTTTGGGACTGGCAAACACCACTTATCCTATTGGGAATCAGCACATCATCCCAGCAAGATGGACCCTTCAAAGAAAATCAAAGCATATAAAAGTTTTAATCTAAGTAATAGGTAAACATTTTTTTTGCTTCTCTTCCTATCCCCAGGAACCTCAGTAAATGACAAGACAAACAGCCCTTCCATCCTGAGGTCAATGCTGTAAACAGTACACACATTTCCTCAGCTTAAGACAGGGACTGACTCAACCATGATTATAAAGTTATAAAGACCCATCTTCTCATTCAACACTATTTACACCTTGGGCTGAAGCTGACTACGAAGAAAAAAAGAAAACACACAACAGGTGGAAGTAGAAAATCACAATTAGAAAGACTGGAGCGTTACACAGTCTAGGCTAGGCAGCTTTTCTGTATTTTGTTTTTTAAGTATTAAATAGCTTTAAATTCACTGAAATCTGTTTTCATGGACTGCTAATGGGAATTCTGATAATGTTTGCTGCGAACAAATCAAACCTTTTGTCATCAGATAAAAATTTTACCTAAGTATAATACAATGTAATAAAAATGTGAAGGAAGTATTGTTAGTAGATTTGTGGACGTTTAAGTTAGCTTCAAGATTTGTCAGTCATCACTAATAAAAAAAGCAAAACCAAAACTGGGCTCCCCAGTTCAAGAGAGACAGGGAACCACTAGAGAGTTCAGCAGAGGGCAACAAAAATGATTGGGGGATTGGAGCATCTCCCTTTTGAGGAAAGGCTGAGAGAGCTGGGACTCTTTAGCCTGGAGATGAGAAGGTTGAGGGGAGACCTTAATAATGCCTTTAAGTGTCTATAGGGTGGGTGCAAGGAGGATGGAGCCAGACTCTTTTCACTAGATCCCAGTGACAGGACGAGGGGCAACAGGCACAAGCTGGAACATAGGAAGTTCCATTTAGAATATGAACAGAAAACCTCCTTACAGTGAGGATGACAAAGCACTGGGACAGGCTGCCCAGGGCGGTTGTGGAGTCCCCTTCTCCAGAGATATTCAAGACCTGCCTAGATGCAGGCCTGAGTAATGTGGCAATCCTGCTTTAGTGAGGGAGTTGGTCTAGGTGATCTCTAGAGGTCCCTTCCAACTCTGACAATTCTGTGATACCACAAAAGCAAAAAAAACCCAGAAAGAAAATGGATAGGAAATCCTTAGCAGAATTTGCTAGGATTTTTTTTACTATAAACAGTTCATTTATGAGTGCACTACAAAAGCCAGAGTAAATTTAAAGATTTCAGAATCACAAGCCACAAAAAGAATTACAAGAATCACAGTTACAAGTCAGTGCTATTAATATTTCACAGATGCAAAATACTGTGGCTAACAGGATGATCAATCAAAGAAGAATATTTATATATATGGCATATATAGAAACATTTATAAAAATATTTCCCAGCGCAAAAAAAGATTACATTACAGCAATTTTTCTTTTAGTATTAATCTCAAATGCAGTTAGTATTTAATTCATGGACAGTAAAAATCAATCTGAGAAACAGCCATGAAGCTTACAGATATCCATATACATAGCAGAAATAAACAAATAAGAAAGTAACCATAATTAAGATATTTTCTGTTGGGATTAGTCAGTGTTTTGGACAGCATCATTACACAGGAATAAAAGGAAATATTTACCCCAAAGAGAAATTATATCAGTCAAAATTAAACTGCATTATTTAAAATTGTGCCTACTTAAAGTACAGTTAGATTACAAAGTAATCCAGTACCACATCTAGATCCACCTCCTTTTTACTTCTGTAGAGGCATTTCTTAAGCATAGTGCATACACAGTTGAGATAGTTTTAAAATACTGAACTTAATAATAAGAACATGGCTGTAAAAGGTTGATCCAGTCTATATGAAAAGTTGACTAAAATAGCTTTGCTCTGTACTGTCACAGCTGAAGCGCTGGCATTTCAGACAGGTTAAAAAAAAGTTTGAACATACGTAAATTGTACTGCAGGCAGACACAGGGGTGACTACTGGTATATTTGACTCTCTGAGAGTCAAATAGCCGCTGTATAGTGTAGTTAGGAATTAAACTTTACTTGAAATTGTGGGGGGGGAAAAAACCCCACCCTATCTTTAATTAATACATTTAAAAAAACTAAGTTCCCCACCCAAATATTCCAGTGAATTTTGACCTCTTAGGAAGCTTTAGCATTCTTGAGATTTTGCAAGAACAGCAGATCCTCCTTCAGGAGTTATGTAAAGAACCATCTCCTTTTAATTGTTTTTTAGTTGAAAGTTATATTTGATGCTCCCCATTTATTTTTTTCCCATACTACCAAAGGCTGTGCAAATCTGTAACACACATCTCACTGTACTTTCCAGGAAGAAACATAATCTACCTGGCCATTCATCATATGGATGCTGTTCCTTATCTCTGATAAACTTCTTACTCTCTTGGTAGCTCTTCCATTTCTACTCTGTCTTTTTAAAATATGAGAAACATCACACAGGATACAAGACTTACTTATGTGCTGGAGTAGTGAATGGGAAGATAGTGCTTTTGAATTTTTCTTTCCTAAATAATTATTTACGTTGCTGACAGTTACTAAGCACTGAGGTAGCATTTGGGTGCAATTATCTTTCATAGCTTATAGATCTACTTCCTGAAGGTACCAGTTATTTCAAAATCCATCATGTATATATAAAATTTGGTTTTATTTTTCCAGTGTACATCAATTTAAATTAAAATATATTGAATTCCATCTACCACTTCACTAGCAGATGAAGTGTGCATCCTAAGTTTCACAGAAGGGCTTCTACTAGGTGCATCCCAGGTTCCTCCATACTAAACCTTATCCTCTCCAAGTGTGTCTTTTTACACAACAGTCACCTAGTGGACCTGTACACTCTTTGCTCCTGTTAAACTTTAAAAGGATTCAGTAACAGTTTTTCTGCTGTTTACAAGTTACAACCTTTTTTTTTTTTGCTTGCCTACTTGCATTCTTATATTTAAGGTGCTTGCATTTTTATTTTTTTTTTAATTTTATTATTTCTTGGCTGTGAGGGTTTGAGAATTTATCATAACTAATTATATCCATTTTTCTGAAAGGCACGTCCTTAAATCTAATCTTACGGACATTGTTAACCAACAGGTCTTTGTTAGAACTTCATTGTAAACCAGGTCCTCTACATTACCCTCTCTTGCAGGTTCTTTGATCAACTTTTCCACAACATAACTACACAGGATCTGAAGGTTTACTCCTGAGATCACAGTTTGACATGGTACTTACCTAATTTACATGAAAGCAATTTAAATATCCCATTATCACTTTCAAGATTCTGATTTTCCCCAGCAGTCTAACATACTATCATCATCTGGTTAAGTGGCTGTTAATGGGAGTCTTATGTTGTTGTTTTGTTTTTTCTTTTAAAGCTTAGAATTCCACTCCCTAAGGACAGTATGTAACTCACTGACTTAAAGACAAATAAGACTAAGTTAAAATTTCCTTAACATCTATCCCACTTCTTTACTATTCAGATTGATTAGTATGCATTCATTAGAACATTTATTTTTCTGATTTAGAGGAATTCAGTAGGTTTGTCTATATTTGGATAATGCTTAAATAATTTACACTAGGGAAGAGGACATTAGAAAGAAAGGATGAGAAATAAGAAGCAAGTGTGCTTCATAAAACTCGGGGGTTGGGAGGGAACAGGGGGGAACAAGCAAAAACCCAACTAGAAAACACCCCACTAAAAAATTGCAAACCACCCATCAAAACCCACCAAAATCCCAAGCACAACCACTTTTTTCCTAGTCTGATAATAACATCAACAATAAATCTTGCTGTTACTTCATACTAGCATGATTAAAATGAGACTCCTGAAGCAACAATACACACAAAAAATTGTGACAAGATTGCTGCATCCTAAGGTAATTTAAAACTGTCTTGTAGGAGCAGTTCCACGGGTACATGGTATAAACTAATTACCTTAATTTTATAAAAACAAAACATTTCAAGCTAAACATGTTAGAGGAATTAGTCCTTTAACATCATTGAAGTTATTTGAGAGAAAACTTCCCAAGTACTCTGCAGCTTGCAGATCTGGGTCCATAAATGTAAGACAAATTCTTAAGCAAGAAACAAGACATGAATAGGGCCATTTATAAGGCTGAGAGAGATTCTAGAAAAGTGCCTATTTAAAATGGATTTCAAACAGTGTTACTATATTGAGTATGCCGTGGTTGTATAGTACTTCAGACACAAGCAGCTGATTCACAAAATATAATCAAGAAAGCATCCTTAAAGAAACCAGAAGAGAAAGGAATTAATGAAATATTGACTATTTTTTGCCTTTGAAACTCAGCTACTACAACTAGCACTGGATCAAGTCCAAATATGCTTAACACAGCAATATCTTTTTTATTAATACTAACAACAATAACATTAATTTTATGGTCAACTTTTAAGGTCTTATCTATGAGGGAAAGCTAGTGTGAACTAACATGTGCTCTCACTCCGCAAGAATTTCCTCACATTTCTCATGCATGAGTTTTTTTGCTTGAAGCACGTGTTTGAAGTAAAAATATACCATCTTCCACTTCAGGCATGCTAAAAGTATACATGCAGGGAACCAATAGCCCAGTCACACACCATCAGCAAATCCTCCATTCTTCACTCACACTATAACAAGATCCTATTTTTTCTTCATAAGAAAACACTTACTTACATTAACTCTTATGATGTGCATAACCCCCATTAAAAAGCCAGATGCGTTCAATTCCTTTGATAACATTAACCAGACCAAGCTCTATGTCAACAGCATTTTCTCTTTGCTCAAGCAAGAATTAGATTGAATTCTTAAGGGTCAAATTAATCCAGAAGGAAAAGTCCAACATGGATTGGCAAAATATCTTGGGTTTCTGACTGACTGGCAGTGAGGTGGTTTTGGGGGGAGGAAAAGCAAAAGATAAAATCTGAATCAAACAAAAAAAAATGAGCAAAATTATATGTCTCACTTCCCAAATTTGTAAGAAGTGGAACATTTTCTTTCCCATATGTGCTTGGTATGCTTCAGTCATATGT